CTAAATCGGGCGTACCGAAAAACCTTTACACAGTTTCCACTCGTCGGAAATTGTGTAAAAGGGGAACATCGCGAAAAAGGACGCAAACAAAAACCCGCGAAGTGCAGTGAGCCCGAAAGGGCACCAGTGCACAAAAATTGCACAATTTCCAGCGCGCGCGGCACAACTGGAAATTGTGTAAAAGTCGAACTTTGCGAAAAGTCGACAGCGAAGGAGAAATGTCGGACGAGGAGAGCGAGGTAGAGCGGGACACGCTCAAAACCGTGGAGAAAATGCTGGACGACGAAGAGAACGTCTACTCATCGTCCAGCGAAGACGAAGAGGGTGACCGAGAAGGGGGCTTTCTCAGGAAACTGAGAAAAGAGAATGACGCCCTTAAGAAGCAGATAGCCGAGCTATCTTGCCAGCTGACGGACCTAACCCGCCAGCTGATAGAAGAAAGAAGGGCAAGCGCCGAAGAGCGCGAAAGAACTGCCAGGCTGATTGAGAAACTGGCAGCAAAACAGGGCATCGAGATCGATGCCCCCAAGGAAAAGGCTCAGAGCCAAAAGAAAGAGAAGAGGAGGCATAGTACCTCCTCAGATGAAGGCAAGAAAGAAGAAGCCCCCAGGAAAAAGGCACTCAAACACGAGCAAGCGTCCACATCGGCAACTAAGACCCCGGCCGAAGTGGAAAAGATGGACCAGTCCTCCACGCCCAAACCCTCGACGGAGGGAAACAAGAAAAAGGAAAAGAGGCCCCCACCACTGTACATCCATAGGGAAGAACAGTGGAAAGAGGTAGTGAGCAAGAAGTTGCTCACAATTGAAAAGCCTGCACGGCTAACCGGAGTAGGCATTAAAGTCCAGCCGAAGGACAGCGATGACTATAGAAAGATCCGCAAAACGCTCGAAGATGCTAAGATAGAGCATCATACCTACTCCCTACCGGAAGATAAGCCACTGGGAGTGGTAATAAGGGGAATACCGAGAATAACCACCTGCCAAGAGATCGCAGAAGACTTGGCCAGGCAAGGCTTCCACCCAAAGACGGTGAACAGGATGACCAGCAGGAGGACTGGAAAAACCATACCGCTGGTAAAAGTAGATCTCCCGAAGGAAGAGACGGGGATCTACAAAATAAACGCCGTTTGCCACATGGTGATCCAAGTGGAGGCAATAAAGAAGAAGACAGGACCAGGTCAGTGCTACCGATGCCAACAATTTGGCCACAGCCAGATGAAACTGCACGGGAGAGCCGCGCTGCGTCAGATGCGCAGGAAAACACAGAGCGGCGGACTGCAAGGTCCCAAATGAAAAACCCGCGAAATGTATCAACTGCGGGGGAGAGCATCCCGCAAACTTTGGAGGATGCCCAAAGAGGCCGAGTGCAGGGCCAAGGGACAAAAAGACGGCACCAAGGGGCACAGCGCGAGCAGCGCCAGCACCCAAAACCATAACTAGGCCTAGTCCAGTCCAGGAGGGCCGTAGTTATGCGTCGACGACAGCTGGGGCAACTAAAGTGGCCCCAGTCGCTCAGGCCAGCAGTGCCAAAGACAGCGACGTCGAGGAATTGACCGATTTCGCCACCAAGCACGCATCACAAATGATGTCACTGGTGATGAAGAACCCGGCGGCCAAAAAGGCGTATTTCGCTCATCTGGAGCAAAAATACGCCTAAACAGAGGGAAGCACTGACCAAAAC